GTCGCGAACGGACGGAGAAATACAAAATATGGGGGTCACTAAATTACATCGATCAGCATCGGAAATGTTGCACCCTGACTTTAGAAAAAACATGTATAAGGAAATGAGGTACTTGAAAGCGTAGGTTAAAAAAACGATTAATTCGAGGCGCACCAAATATTATTTAACGAAACAGCACATCGAAACACCTTATTACTTCTAACACGTGTGTTAATTAAATTTCGTCCGATAAGACTCCTTATCACAAAGGACACGATAAAACCTTTTATAAAGTACACAAACTTGACCAGATGTGTTTAATTTAAAGCATCATATCTAAATTGTATAAATAAAAAAAACCGCAATATACAATACGCAATTGCAAACAATTCTAAAAGGAAAAATAACACTGAGCTACAAATTCAAGTAACTTAGTGCCTATTTGTAAATAATCCACCAGATTTATACTTAATGAATTGAAAACAAGGGCTTATCCCTCAGGTTTATTTCAAGTCGACTAAAAATGATCGACGGTTTTGTGAAAATACTTGCAGGTAATATTTCCTTTAGTTACGAATATGTGACACCGCCTTCTATAGCTAGGAGCAATTTTCTAATAATTAAAGAGCTACATATATCAATCGTCCATTACGTCGTGCATAAACCAGTGAAATGGAAGGATACGCTCAAACTGGCGTATAATATACTACTGTATGAGCATTTCAAATGCAAAGTGCTTAGTAATTTCAACGAACATACATACGGTAATTTAATTGCAGCCCTACCTTTTCCTGATAATAAACATAATTAAGTTAAGATTATGTGAAGCCTGACACCATGTGCGGTATATCTCCTGTCGCCATTGAACTATCTAATTATATTAAATTTTTTCAATTTTAATTAATACTCAAGATCGATGGATACCTACGTTAACCTAATTGCTTGATGAAGTGGTTGTATTGTAATCGAAACTTTTAGTTATGCTTTACATGAATGAGACCACAACCAGAGGGTAATTCAACGTAATACTCTTTAAATCCAACTGGCAACTGCTATTATTATGTTAGGTTAAGAGAGAAATACAAAATATGGGGGTCACTAAATTACATCGATCAGCATCAGAAATGTTGCACCCTGACCCTGATGTATAAGGAAATGAGGTACTTGAAAACGTAGGTTATAAAAACGGTTAATTCGAGGCGCACCAAATATGGTGTATGGTGTATATGGTATATCGGCAGCATGGGTGCCTGAATAAATTAAGTTGGGTTACAGCCCTTTGAATTTTCTTTCGAAATTGGTTTCTAGTCTATAACTTTTTATTGAGTAGTCTGATCGAAAAAGTACGAATTGTTTTGGATTCTACGCACCAAAATTAATAAGAAAAAGTGTTTTCCCGAGAAATTTTGGTGCAGTCGATTTTTGGAAAAAAGGAAGGTTACACACTGCCTTTTTTTGCCCCAAAAAAAAACTTGTCTCAGATCGACCCGGAAAAAAAATTTTTCTTATAGAACATGGCCTGTAGAATCCATAATTTCAATCAGTTCCAAGATTGGGCTACTAGTTCAAAAGTTACAGCCCTTTGAATTTTCTTTCGAAATTGGTTTCGTCTATAACCTTTGATTGAGAAGTCTGATCGCAAAAGTACGAATTGTTTTGGATTCTACCCACCAAATTTAATAAGAAAAAGTGTTTTCCCGAGAAATTTTGGCGTAGTCGATTTTTGGCAAAAAAGGAAGTGTATACACTGCCTTTTTTTGAGGACCGAAAAAAAAATTGTCTCAGATCGACCCGGAAAAAAAATTTTCTTATAGAACGTGGCCTGTAGAACCCATAATTTCAAACAGTTCCAACACTGGGCTACTAGTTCAAAAGTTACAGCCCTTTGAATTTTCTTTCGAAATTGGTTTCTAGTCTATAACTTTTGATTGAGAAGTTTGATCGAAAAAGTACGAATTGTTTTGCATTCTACGTAGAATCCATAATTTCAAACAGTTCCAAGATTGGGCTACTAGTTCAAAAGTTACAGGCGTTGGGTTAATCTCATAGAAGCTGGCATGGGAATGGGTATAAAAAAATGCGGAAAATTTGTTACGTGATTTGCAAGCGGCCAGAATGCGTTCATTTGATCTTATCCGTCTACTTTATGGGTACATATTTCTTTAACTCGTGACAAATTCACGTTGAATTATTTATTGCTTCCTGATGTATAATTACAACCACTAAAATGTCGTACCTTGCATACGAAGCTGCCAACTCTAATTTTTATTAATTTCTACTACACGACTTGTTCACGTTACAAGCTTACATTTAGCTTTGAATTTTTTGTTCCATTATATTTAAGGATTTCATTTACGCCTTTCGCTCTCTTTTTTCCCGTATGATATCGGCAAACAACTCTATTTATGCGATTATAAAATACCCGTATTCCAAATATGGAGGTGACACTTTTCATTCACCTGGAGTCGATCTAATCTACGGTCTCGTTACATTAAGTTGTTTGTTTGGGTTTAAGCAAACATGCTTCCACCTACTTTTGAAAAATGTGTTCAGACCAAATACGTGGGTCGTACGATGTTCTCATTCGGGATACTTTATGAGCCAATAAACGTAATATAAATAATACAGATTCGCTTTTATTAGCGAGAAAATTTAATTTGCCCATTCAGAGACGGGGCATTTAAATTCATTTTAATTGCCCACACAAAATATATGTGGCAAATATTCCTCGTGGATATGTATTTCTTTTAATCACTTTTTTCAGTACAAAGTTTAATTTTATTTAATAATTTCCCACGATACACGGCAATGAGCCACCTACTATGATGGCCCCCCCCGGTGGGAAGATATACAGGGAAAATCGCAATTTTTTAGTTCTGTTCACAAATATGAGTGATAATCGAGCCAAGAGCTGAAAATTAGTATCTTATCAAGCAAATATGAAGCACCAAGGAAGAACTAATGAAAGTGTGCATATAAGGTAGTCAGGCATACTTGACATCGATAAATCTCACCCCCGTTTGAATGTACAACTGTACAGGGTGTCTCATTTTTACACTTTATAGAGTATCTTCGTCATTGTTTGTGATATCAAAAAAGAAATGAGTATATGCTGTCTTTGGTTCAAACTATAAGTGGGAATGATTCTCTTAGTTAAAAAAGATACCAAAAATGTTTATTACAAAACTTTCTTTATAATGATGGATAACCTGCCGTTCGCAAAGGATACCTAATTTTTATTAAATTTGAGAAAACTCAGCAGTCTTGACAAACTTCACAATTCCAAAGAATTATATGAATTTTAAATTAAACACCTGGCATAACCGTGCGCATCAGCAGATAAATTATAATTTACAATAGAGCGAAGAATTACAATTAAAACTAAGTACATTACCTTTCGTTACAGTTAGCACCAAATTTACACCAAATTGACTTTTATAATTAATATTAAATACAACTGTACTCGCTGAAGGGAAATGCAAAAGTGATGCTACAATTTACTATGAACCTGTATGAACCTTAAACTGCATTGTTTAAAAGTCGCTGAAATACAATTCTTGAAAAGTGACTGCAATGTGTTTAAAGGTTAACGTATCGTTAGCCTGTCAAGCGGTGTCTATTTTAGCCAACGCACACTACCGCCAAAATTCGAAACTTTAGAGAAACGATTTGCAATTTCATACCTGGGGGTTTTTGGGGGTCACTCATTACGAATTCGATGTCAGAATTACGAAATTCAAAATGGCTTCCTGCTTCGACTTTTGCGAAAAATTTGAATTTTTAATGAAATCGTTTGCAATTTTGTACTAGGGGGTTTTTGGGGCCGCTGATTGCTAATCTGTTTTCAAAATTGCAAAATTTAAAATGGCGGATTATGCAAAAAACTTGAAAGTTTCGTACCAGTGGGTTTTTGGGGTCGCTCATTCTAAATTCGATGTCAGAATTACGAAATTCAAAATGGCGGACTCAATATGGCGTCGTCTTTTACGAAAAGTTTGAATGTTTAAAGAAATCATTTGCAATTTCGGGCCCGCTCATTACAAATCTGCTGTCAAAATTGTAAAATTCATAATGGCGGATCCAATATGGGGGGGATTATGCAAAAAATTTGAAAGTTTTTCTACATTCCAAAACTTTGTAATTACAAGAAAATTTAGTACTAATAAATAAATGTGTGAAAACAACAAACGTTTTTGAAGTTGTTACAAAAATTTTATTAGTTAAAGTTTTGGGTGATATACGAAACAGGAGTCTCGGACTGTACAAGTAAACACATTAACTGCTCAATAAAATTTAAAATTCAATAATTATACAGAGTGTTCCTAAATATGATATAAATAAGGCCCTAATTATTTGGCTTATTTTATGACTAAAAGTTCATATATACCCGCAAACGCTTCGTTACCGGTCTACAGGGTGTTATAGTTCTACGGTAAACTGTACATTGTACAATTCAAGAAACCCAAACATTTTAAAAAGATTTTTAAACTTTTAAAAATGTTTTGGAATCAATATTAGATTGTTTGTATTTTTTCAGTGTTATACTTTTGAAAAGAGGACTTAATATGCTATCTTATTAGATTTAAATATACAGGGTGTTCCATTTAAAAAAATGAGGTTCGGTCCGATAACTTTTTTGCCCGGTGTGGTATACTTACTTGAAAACGGCAAATTATTTAACGATCACTATAAAGAAACTTGTAATACACTTTTGTCCATGTTTCTTCTATAATAACTCATAAAATACCTGTTCATT